CATTTTCCCTCTTAAAGTTTTGAGGTAATAGGGAGAGATCTAGTTATGCATTTGATTGTTAATTGATTGTAGAATTTTAGACAATTGTCTTGTTTTTGTGAAATTTGTTCCTTCTAATTATTATGTCATAAGCTATGCCTTTGGAAAAGTTTTTGATGCAAGTGTGGCTTGAAATTGACAATTGAAGTGATTTTTATAAAGTGTGATTAAATGAGTTGTATGTAAATAAATATAAAAGTCTTGATTATTATATAATTATGTGGAAATCCATACGAAAGAATGATCCTTGTTGAATTTATGACATGAAAATGTGATTATGTAAAAGTATGATAATGTGAGGTGATTATGATGTTGCGGTATGGTTATGGCATAAATGATAGAGTTATGGAATGTAATAAAATGCTTTGAGCTGAATAAATGATTATTAACATGCTTGGTGTGTGAGTAAGAATGTATTATTACATGATCATAATTAGAGGGTTTGCCTAGAGAGAGAAGTAGTTATAAATCCACATAGTGTGATTGCCTTAGGTAACTAAAGGCTAGCCTTTGTCCTACTATTTGTTGAAGGATTGTCTCACTATTTTTTGAGAGACTTGAACCTAGTTTGACTCTACTTGTTCCCTGAGAAGGCTAGCTTAAGGTTAACAACACCCTTAGGATTTGAGAATATAGGAAACTATGGTTGAAGAGTGAGTGTAGTGACTTTTGACCAGATTACTCCTCACAATCACCTTGGGCAATCCATTCTCATAGAAGGAAACCTGTTTGATTTAATAACCCACAGTTTCAATTGAGGGTATTAGAAAGTGATAAAGGAGGTCCTTGATCATGAAAATCATTGTTATTAGTCACATGGTTGCTAAATTTTTTTACTATGTTAGCTTGTGCTATGTGAATATGGTTTTCTATATAGTTAAATTCCCACTTTGTATATTTATAATTAATTAACTTACATGTACATTTATCAAACTATCATAGTTATTAAATAGTTGTATCCACCCTCTCATTAACATTTTAAAGGCACTAACTCAAGACAAGATAAAGGGAAAGCACCAAAGGCTTAGGAACACGGTTTCTTCTTGTAGGCCTCTTTTGTTTCAATTTAGATGTGTAATTAAATGTGATAATTCCAACTAGATGCATATTTTGATTTGGTAGTTGCACCATTATTGTGATGTAAAAGTTAGTTATATTTTGGGGCCTAAGTTATATGTGATGCAATTGTGATATATGTTTAGGCCTAAAATACTTATACAAGTATGATAGGAATTACATAAAGAATTGCAATAGATTGTGTTAATATTTTCTATTGAATGCCTCCACTTATTGTTTTTTATAGCAAGGGGTTAAGGGCTAAAAATGAGACATATGTGTGATATGAATGCTGTGGTATGTTGCACAAGTTGTCATGAGTTTGTTAAGTATGATCTAGGTGTTCAATTAAGCTTTTGGCACATTGATTAAATTTTGGACACACTTGTTGGTAAGTGTGAAATTGTGTTTTAATTGTGTTTAGGTGTCCAACTTTTTAGTATAAAATAGTTGGGAAAGTAAACTAGTGCGATTAGCTAGTTTATTGAAAGAGCTTTATATGGACACTTAGATACCTCAATTGGACTTCAAATGGAGATTTGGGACATATCAAAAGTTTGTCTCTAGAGCTATCAAACTAAAGCTTCTACTGTCATTCACTGTGTAATGTGCCGCGATGCATAATACATAAAGGACATATCATGACACAAGTCCTTATGCCATGGCACATTCCTTTATTTTGTGTTTCCTTGATGTTTCAACTTAATTTTCAATGTTTTTATGTATTAATTGGAATTCCATACTTCTGTATGCATATTACTTTGATTTAAACTTGTTTATGTTTTCATTTAAAGTGGTTTGAAGTACCAAAATTGAAATCCCTTATTTGTCTGATGTTTTAAAGGTGATTTATAATATTTGGTTTGCTGATGGATTTAATAATTTTGATTTTTATCTTTTCTACTATTGAAAACTTTAACTGCAGTTGAGTTTGTTTTAACTATGTTATGATAATTAGTTGGGTCAATCCTTAATTATCATAGTGGTTTTGTTTAAGTGTTGAGGTAATAAGGATGATATTATAAGTATAACTACTCAATAATCAATGTAATTTAATCTATACACATGTAAGTCAATCAATCATAGTGATGCAAAGTGAGCATTTACAATATATTCACATTTTTAAATTACATAACTATATCCATTCACATATATACTTTTCAATCATGGGAAACATAATCCAATCAAAAACTTAACAATCATGTGACAATTTTTCAATGTCATACATAATCATAACCTCCTAAAACTATGGGATATTAAGTCAAGTAGGGCTATGACCGTATGAATGGACTAACCTAATGTCATGATTCATGATCTTCATTTGTAAACATCCTTGAGTTCTCAAGCAATACAACTCTCACATTTCCCAAACTCTTTCAACTATTCTTTGCTTTCAAGCTTTCTCTTTCCTCAACTTAGTCATGCATCTTCCTTTTCTACAAATCAGGCTTACTTAACATCTTTCAATGAAGAGTGTCTAAGTGCCACGCTGGTTGAAAGACTAGTCTTGTGATATTAAGCTTGTCAATCATAAGGAGTTACCCAGCTAAAGGTTACTATACTCACTTTTAGACCATGATTTTTTTCATGTACAATCTATGGGGTGTTGTTAACCCTAAGCTAGTCTCCTCAGAAAACAAGTGGATACAAGCTAAATTTAACTCCCTTGACAAACAATAGGACTAGGGGCTAGCCATCGGTTACCAAATGATGGCCATACTGTATGAATTTATCACTACTCCTCTCTAAAGGTGAACTCCCACCAATCATGATCATATAATACACACATGATTATCACACATAGCATGCATTTATTATTACATTTATTATTTCATAACATGGTACATATCTCAAAGAAATCATTATAATAATATCACATATTCTTGTTCAAAATCCTTACATTCATAAAAAAAAACATTAACTTTCCCATATGATATAGAGAAGGCTGCCTAAATTTAAGTCTCCAATTGAGCCAAATGGCCTAATCTAGACTTGATCCAAATGTTAGTCCTCTCTAATAATCTTTAAACCCATTCATGATTGAATTTCCCTAATTACCCTTCATTCACTTAATTAATCAAGGAGTTAATCTTTAAGATGTTACACTCATAATTTAACTAATAAAATTTATTTACACATAGACAAAAAATTTTTCCATATATATTTTCGTTTGTAAATTTTAAAAATTTAGATAATATGTAAAAAATAATAAAATTTGTATACTTTAAAAGACTATATAGGATTCATAGTAAACAGTAGCGGTGGATGTAAGATTCATGGCAAAAATAATATATAGGTCTTAGATATGCAATAAAATTAAGGGAAAATTGCCATACACAAAAAGCCCGACTAGAAAATAATTTGCTCAGAAGGACTTCGAACATATTTCAAAAAAGGTCTTTCGCTATCAATAATTGTTAAGGGTTAAATGACATAGATGCCCTTGCTAATACAGAAACAAAAGTTCAAGGTCTTTTGCTATAAATAATTTCATGTCAATACTTATTACAAGATCCTTCGATATCAATATGTCAAACAAGTTCCTTCAATGGCAATTTATTGAGCCTTGAAGCACATTTGAAGCATATGTGATATTTCTTCCATATATTTGAATATCACTTTTGTATATTTGAATATTCTTTGTCAAAATCCCTCAAGCGCACCTTTATATGCATATGCGATATTTCTTCCATGATATACAACTACTTTTTAGCATAAGCAATGTTTTTTTTCATATATTCAAACATCATTTTTTTTGTATTTGAATATCCCTTATTAAAATTCCTTAAGAACACCTTTTGATGCATATGCAATGTTTCTTTCACAATGTGTGACTACTCTTCTAATATGTGATGTTTCTTCCACATGTTTAAATATCACTTTTGCATATTCGAATATGTTTTGTTAAAAATTCCTTACAGACACCTTTTGATGTGTATGCAATGTTTTTTCAACAATATGCAACAGCTCTCCAAAGAAATGAAAATTTCTTTCATATATTCAAATGTTACTTTTCTATATTCAAATATCTAATGTTAAAATCCCATGTGGATACCTTTAGATGTATATACAATGTTTCTTCCACAATGTGTGACTGCTCTTCAATAAAATATAATTTTCTTACATATATTTAAATATTACAAATGCATAGTTGACTAAATGAAAAAATTACATTTCCTTGAAAGGTGGTTGCATATCATGAAAGAAAAGTCGCATATGGTTGAAGATACCTATATATGGTCATAAAACATGATACTAGGTGTAAAATTTATAGAATATTCAAAATGGTTATTTGAATAAATGAAAAAAAAATTATATTTTCAAGATATTCAAAATGCATATTTAAATATGGCTTAGAACTTAAAGTTTGAATATTGCATCAATATTGTTTTTCATGATATCACAAATTCATATTCAAATATGATTTAAAACTTAAGGTTTGAATATTACACCAATGTTTCATTTTTAGGATATCACAAATGTATATTTTGAAAATTTTTTCATTTTTATAAAAATATCAAAGGATATTCTAAAAAGGCTAATAGATATTTTAAAATTTTTTTCATTTTTCATGAAAATACATATAAATATTTTGAAAATGTGAACAAATATTTGAATATATCATCATTTTTATGTAAACATAAATGGATATTTTAATTTTTTTTTTCATTTTTCACAAAAACATATAGGATATTCAAATATGCTTTTGCATATTATGAAAATTGTATTATTTTTCATGAAAATATCAATAGATGTTTTGAAAACACCTGTGAATATTTTAAAATTTTTTTTTATTTTTCATGAAAACACTTATGAATATTCTAAAAATATAAATGAATATTTTGAAAAAATATACATCCTTTGAAGATTAAGCATGGAAAAATATTGAAGAGGAATACAAACTATAAATTGATTAATAAGTTTATTAACATTGAATTAATACAGACTTTCACATCTCATATGGTTTTGTAACAATTATAATTTATCAATTCCAACTCTCAAAATATCGAAACAAAACATAAGTTTCCATCTAATACAAGCTATAACATCTCATAGATTATTTTCATATACAATTCATCCCTACAAGCTACTACAATTATAGAGTAACAAATTATATCTTGTAAAAGTTCTCTTTTGTAACTTGCTTTTGTTTGAGAGGTCCATGCTCAATTACATCTCTTTCTCATCCTTGCCTAGAAATTACATATCTTCTTCTAGTTCCTCAAATGATCCATCTTCTTCATCAAGAAGAGGCCATCTTCATTATTCTTCCCTAACACAATTAAGTTCAATCTTGATACAAAGTAATATTTGGTGAATAAAAAACTTATACCAATACAAATAAAGCAAAGACTTTTAACCACCAAGAAACAAAAATGAAGTAGAACAAGCCAATAATTCCCTTGTGTACCACAAGAACTGCATTAATGAAACTATTAACTATCATGTACCAATAAAGTTATTCAAATATTCTTACAAGGCAGGTAGCTTGAATATAATATGGTGCAAGTAGTTCTATGAAAAAAAATTAAATGAAGAATCAAACTTGAAGTTTAGGTGCAAGTAGTTCTATGGAAAAATTAGTCGAGTTTGCAAATTATAGTTCACACAATTTACAAAACTTATACAAAATCCTTTTACTAATTACAGTGTGCTTGGAAGAATCCTTTCCAATAGGCCTTCGCACTCTCTGTTGCAAATATCTATCCACATCTAGTAAGACCTTCAACTCTTCAAAATCCTTGTCTATGACATTAGGAATCCAGCCAATTTGGCAATTTCTAAGTGATTTATCCCAGGTTTCCTTGATGACTTTTGGGCCCTCATTTAGATTGAAATCCCTTCAACAGAGAGTCTAAAACAACCAGGGACAATTAGTTGAAAGAGGGAAAAAGACATGTCTAAATTCCCCACTTAAATAAAGATGGACATGTTTATTTCATGATATAAGATATATTTGTATAGAATCATATGATATCAAAACGATAAGCACAAAGATAGAGAAGAGTTGTTGCAAAATATATGATAGAGTAGAGACTGATTGCGTTCATAAAAAATCAATACAAATAGATAGTATATACGTGAGTGACAACGGAAAAATCTTCAGATAATATAAACAAAAATAAAAACTAGTTCCATTCTAGACTAATCAAGCTAAAATCAGTGGATAGAATCAACTAATCAAAGGCAAACCTTATCAAAATAAAGACCAATCAGTATCACAAAGAGCAATTATGTTGCTTGCATATGTAATCGAAAAATGCACAAAACAAGACCCCTGTTGATGGAAAATTCATCTCTTACCAATAATTAAATTCTTGTAATTCCAAAATTGAGAAGGATGGACAGAAACAAGAACCCAAAGCCAACACATGTATTGCGTAAAAATTAAATAAACCTGTAAGATTTGATTACTCATAAAACACAAATATTGCTTCAAACCCCAGCTCTCTTGTATTCAAAATTTAGGATTGACGGAGCATCAAAACTCTACAAAACATTGGTTACGCTTTCCCCACTCGTGCTGGGTTCATCCTTCTTGTCCCCACCAAACAAACCCCCAAACCATGATTTTAAGGTTCAGAATTCAGAGCACGCGGTATACGATTGAAATAAGAGTTGAAGAGGGAGGGCAAGGTGAGAGTCGCCAATCGTTGCCGACCTCAACTTACTCGCCATCGGAATCATGGCTGGGACATCGCCAGGAGAAATTGCATAAACGGGAGCTGGGGAGGAACGGGAGAGAATTTGATGATAATAATTTAGTCATTTGGTCATTTAAGGACTTGGCTTGCCTCTGCTTACCTTTCCCTCCATTTCCCCTTACCTAAAATACAATTTGTATCATTTAAATTTGATATAAATTAAATTTAGATGATTTAAATATAAAGTTTTTATTTTTTTTATTTATGTTTATACTTTATACTTATTAAATTTAAAATTAAAATTTTTAATAAATTTATTTTATCACCTATGAAAATAATTTATATTTAATTTGAATGGTTCAAAAATTAATATTAAATTTTTAAAAATTGATTATCTAGATTTATTTTGAATGGTTTATATTTAAATTTTTTAACTTATAATTTTTTTAGAAAGTGTCAACTAGGAGATTGTCTTCAGTTTTAATTTTATGTTTATCAAAATAAAAATTTATAAAAATGATAAAAAATTTATATTAAATATGAAATTTTTAGAGTAAATCTGGATGATCAATTTATAAAAATTATAAAAAATTTAAAAATTAAATTGAATTAGACATATTAAATCTAGATTGTCCAGATTGGTAATAAAGTGAATTTATTAAAATTTTAATTTTTATTTTACTAAGTGTAAAATAAAAATATAAATAAAAAATAAAATGTGGACCATTAGATTTAATCCCCACCAAATCTGAATGATTCAGATGTTATTTCAAGTTTGTGGAGAGAAAATGAAGGGGAAGGTTAAGGGAGAGAAGCCAAGTACGTCACGTAACTACATTATACTTGAGGGGGCTCCCAAAAAAGTTCTACCATTTCATTTTCATAACACAAGCAATTGAATTGCAAGGGAATATCTAATTATCAATAACTTCAGGTTCTTGTATAATTATAGAGACTATGTATGATTATTGATGTGGCATTGCAAGATAATAAGATATTGTTGATGTGGGAATGCAAAGGCTATAAGGTGTACTCTGATATTTATGCTCTATCTAATAAGATTATATTAGTCCAATCAAATAAAATCTTATGTATTGTGTTTGGGTTAAAATATGAAACGTCACTCAAATAGGTCACAAGGCTAGTTGGGTTGAATAACTGAAGTGTCAAACCCAACATAAATAAAAGGTGCAGGCGCTGATGCACGATAAAGGCCACAATAAATAAATATGTCAAAATTTTGTCAACTGCAAACATTGGACCATTGGCATGAAAGACACGATCTCAAGTAATGCCAAAATATACAGACTTCATGTCCAAGTATCTCGATGAAATGGGTTGATTGCCAAAATAGAGCGTATGGAATGAAGACTATGCCATGAGTTTCGTGAGATCCTTGATTCTTTGGTAAAACGTGCTAGGTCTTAAGGAAGAGGCTATCACCACTCTAACACTATAAATAGAAGATGAAGACATAGAAGAAACTAGTCAACACTCAACTAAAGACTCGCATTTTACACTTTTTAGCCTTTTAGTTTATCAATTAATCTTTCAGTTTATACTTGTAACTTTTTTGCATTTCAATAAAAACAAACACTTGTTCTACCAAAGCCTTGTATCTTTTTACATTCGAGTAAATTATGGTAAGGGAGCTCGAGACCTTTTTTACTATCAATTGAGACTTAGTGTCTCTGGCATGCCTGGTATTTATTGTTCACCACGAACAATTTTTAGCATGCCCAATGGGACCTGTGTAACAAAGATGGCAAGGACGTGAAAAGACAAAAGGATTGATGAAGCAAGTGCTGGTTCTCACGAATCAGAAGGGACCTCTACACACACAGGGTCAAAACACTTAATGCCTAATGCTAAAGCGGCTGACCATCGTGAGCACATTGTGTCAATATTGATAGGTAGCAGCAGCATAAGCCTTGGCTTAAAGCTAGGAAGTGGACAAGCTAACCCACTAATCATATCCAACGGTCTTGTGGCAGAAGTGCTGCAGGGGATTTAAGACGAGATGGATAAGCAGCCGAAAGAGAACTAAAGATTCTTTGCACTATCCCTGGAAATGTCAAAATGTAAGGAGAAGGAACGATAGCAAATCATGGTGCAAGCTCTGCATGACGGCATGAAGAACATAGCCTCATCATTAAGAAGCACTCCTATAAAAGCAGGTTCAAGTTTAGGGTCACTTAAAGGGTAATAAGCAAGAATCAATATAGGCACTAGCCCTTGGGGCCACCCACTTATAAGGGACATTCCTAACCCTTAAGTATTTGCTCACACTAATCCTCTGAATAATCCTTTGTATTATTTTGCAGGAGCCTGACACGAGTGGCCCGGGGGGCACGACAGTGATCCCAAAGCGTCACAATGAGCCTTAGAATCAACTGGTGAACATGAAGGCCCTGAGGGATGCTATCCAAGATATTTACAAATTAGGGCTAAGGCTAATTGACTACCCCACCTTCTCAAAGCCATATCTAAAGTACATAGACAAGGACAACTTGTACTCTCAAGGATACAAGATCCCTAACTTCACGCTATTCTCAGGGGACAGAACACAATTGACACTGGGGCACATTGGGAGGTTTACAATCTAATGTGGTGAAAGATTGCCAACTATGAGAACTTCACCAACTTAAAGTTAATTTTGTTCCTGAACACTCTCACAAGTCTGACGTTCAAATGGTATACTTCGCAGCCCTGTAACTCAATCATCAATTAGATGGAAATGGAAGGATGGAAATGGAACAGAAGTTCCATATCCAATTCTATAAGGCAGAGCTAGAGGTCAGCATAGCAGAACTCTATAAGCTCACCCAACGAGCTGGAGAGATGGTGGACTAATACTTGATAAGGTTCAAATGACTGAGGAGCAGGTACCATGTGCCGCTTTTAGAAACTAAATTCGTCAAGTTAGCACAAGCAAGATTGGATATAGAGATCTGAAAGAAATTTTAGAGGATGAAATTTTAAGATTTCTATAAAACACAGCCAAAGTATGGGGATATAAGGAACTACGTAAGGAAGAGAACCAACGCCAATGGACTACAGCAAGAACCTATTTAAGGGATCTTGATGTGGTGGTGGCAAAATTAAAAAATGCTAGCAACTACACATGCCCAAGTCTGATAAGGAAGGCTGAAAAGATTCCCAAAAGGCTGAATGTAATCTAATACACCTTTAATACCACCAAAACATAGGAAATCTTTGATTTCCTCCTCAACAAAAACTTCTCCTGTTGATCACAAAATCCCTTCAAAGGAAGAACAGAGATGGAAGGAATACTGTAAATACTATCATTCATGGAGTCACAACACTGAGGTTTGTTGGAGTTTCAAGAATGTCATCCAGGACCGAATCAATAATGGGATTTTGAAGTTTCCTAAGGAAGAATCCATGATCATAGATGAGGATCTATTCCCACCATTTTCCAGAGTCAACATGGTAGGGATAAACTCTGGCAAACGATAACCTAGAGAAATGATGGTAAGTAGAGAGATGGGAGACCCTGGAATATCTAGAACAGGGATGAAGTGAGTCAAGTAAACTCAAGGACAGTATGGGACTTCCTGGGCAAACCTACAGTTCGGTCCAACAAGAATATTCCAAGGTAGTTTGGGATTACCTAAGAGAAACCCAGAACATAGACAACCAATAAAATAAGAAAAATAGCAAACAACCCTCAGGATAGGATGTTGGCTTGAGGGATTGTTAATAATAGAATTAAATGTATCTAAGATGGTATGGGATCATCTAAGGGAGCTATTTGATAAATTTGACTTCTTCATGAAGTACTCAGCGCCTCCAAGAGCAGGTGAACCATTCATAGGGACACCAACGGGCTGAGATGTAGGCCTTGATAACCTACCTTTGCCACCATTAACACTATCAGAAAGCATCACAGAGCTTCCTTCAAAACTAAAAGTTGCCAAGGGTTCAGGCAGGTTCGTTATGCTGCTCGACAACATGTTACCTCTGAAATGGAAAGTCATGAGACATAAGAAGTTCCCATTTGCCTTGACCAGGACTTTAAAATGACATCTTTAATGAAAGCGAGCTGCACAGAGATACCTCAAACAGTAGAAAATTGAGGTACAGGAAAGCCCTGACGTTCAACAAGAAGTAAATAAGTTCAGCAGGAAGTCTACTCAGGATAAAGGGAGTGAGAATGAAAATCAGCATAATGGGACCATTCATGTTAGGGAAATGCATCTTAACATCTGCTATATGGTTTCATTAACACTCCCTTCATTAACAGTCCCTTCTTAGTTCTAATCTACCACCAGTAAGACTTAAGACCAGCATGAATAGAACTCTTCGGGGTCATTATATACGAGCCCGTATCAATATTGCTCAATAGAGTTGAGGGAGGAAGAGGAGTATGAACCAATAAGGATGTAGGAGCAAAAAGAGAAGGCTGCAGAGCTTGTCTATTAGGTCACCTTATAAGTTATAGAAGGAAAGCCAAAGCAGGCCATCTTGAAAAAAACCAAGCGTTAAGATGACCTAGCACCTAAAGCCTTTATACATTAAGGCATATTTTGATAGGAGGCTAATGATTAGGGACCTCATGGACAATGGTTCGGCAGTGAAGATACTGCCACCCATATGATGCTTAAGATAGGGTGTGAAGAGCATGACCTGATGCCAATTGAGGTGTCCATGGTAGGATTCACTAGGACCACCTCTAAGGTCCTTAGCGTACTACCATTGCAAGTTAATGTTGGCACCAAGTTATTACTGACAGCCTTTTTCATGATCAATACCATATCACAGTATCAGGCCTTCCTAGGTCAGGATTAGATCCATGCCAACGAGTACGTGCCTTCCTTATTACATCATATGCTTCTTTTGTGGAAAGGGAAAGAGGTAGAAGTAGTCTGGGATGAAGATAAGCCATTCATAGCAGTCACTAACTTCATGGATGTGAGGTATTATGATGTCGATGTGAGCCCATTTACGTTTTGAAAGGCACAGGGAATCCTTTTATGCAGAACAATAATGAACACTACAGTGCCCCTAACATCGTAGAGGCTCAAGCCCATCATAGAACTGGTTGATAATTGAGTCAAAAAAAAGAAAGACTGTAGTAGCCATGGCCATTTAGAGGCTATGGTTGCACA